TTTTTTTACTTGAGACATGAAAGCTTTATCCAACCAGTCCATGTGTAAGTACTTCGCCGGCGTCAGATATCAATTTAACAATTTTCGACGTAAAGGGTTCTGCTTGTTTGTTCATTTGTTTGTTTGTTGTTGCTGTTCTTTTTCTTTAGTTTTGATCCTTTGTTTGTTTCTTTATTTGTTTTATCAGGAGCCGGATTTTGCGACAATAAAGTGAATGGAAACTACCGAGATCCTGATAATTGTTACGGATATATAGCTTGCTCTAATCAGATCTCGTACAAAATGAGCTGCAGCGCCGGCCTAAAATATAACGAGACATTAGACCAGTGCGATTGGCCACAAAATGTGCAATGCAGTCCAGGTACAGTATATCTATAAATATAGAGGCAAGACCGATATAACGTAGATAGGTAAATTTTAAGACGGACTACGTTGTATCGGTCTTGCCTCTATATTTATATTTCATATTCGTTATTTTGGGCCGATCAGATCATCGCTGATCCAACGTGCAAGAGTAGGAGTATCGTCCACGGTTGCCTGCTGAACATTTCACAGTATTATATCTACCATTCTCCACATCACTTTCTAAAAGAACTTTTCAACAGGACGTCTCACTGGCAAAAACATTTGGCAAAATATCTTACAAATTACTAAAGACAAACATCAACCTTTCCGCTCAAAAAATTTAAACTTAAGACTTCAGTGGTCGCTTATGGGAGCTTAAAACCAATGGAAAAGTCCAGTTCGGTAACCCCAAGGTTGGTCGCGGTCGCTTACGGGAACGGTCGCTGACGGGATTTTACATTGGTGGTCGTAACTAGAGCCGGTTGCTTACGAGAGTGGTCGCGGGGAGAGTTCAGACTGTAGTTTGATTTTTTTATCTCAAACAAAAAGAACTGAGACGGGAAAATACAAATATAACAGTTTTAAATGCTTTTGTTGATTTCTAGCGCAGTTTTTTTTTTTTTTAGTTAAGTTTTTTTCTTTCTTATATTAATTTTTGTTTCATTTGTTTTTTCGTGTAAATAATTTTTGGAAAGAAAGGTTCGGGGGTTTGGAATTATAGTTTATGTTTTGGGGCACGCTTTCTCACTTCGGGTGCCTTCTCGACAAAATCTTTGTTTTAGTCGACGGTGGCTGGTCTGACTGGAGTACCTGGGGTCCCTGTAATGTTACCTGTGGCGGTGGAAAACAAGCGCGAAACCGTAGCTGCACCAATCCCCCTCCATCTAATGGTGGCAAGAAATGTACTGGACTCGACACAGAAACCCGTCAATGCGGAAATGTGATTTGTCCGTGTAAGTACAGCTGCAGCTCCACAAAGATGAAGCTACTTGTGAGCCAAGCTTTTGCGGTTTATTCGCTTAGACGCTCTGTAGTATGCTGTAGACTTTGGAATGATCTCTCGGAGTCTCTTTTTTTTTAAAGCGAATTGAAAAGAGGGAAGCAAGGTGCCACAATCACTAAGCCTCTTATTGCTCGGGCAGTTTCCCAGCCTAATCTTCCAGTAAGTAAATCAGAGAAAATTTCTCCAGAGAGGAAGAGTTGTTTGGAGTCGCCTTTGCAGTTTTAAATCTTCTCCGCCAGAATGGGTGACAACAGGGCATTAACAACCGTTACCAAGTTAAGTTAACTAACAGCGAGGTCATTTGATATCAAAAGGGATCTCAAATGTGATGGTGTTTATGATGGCCATATTGAAAACCCAGCCTTATTCACAGCACACTTGCCAATGTTTTAATTGAATAGCGCTTAAAAGAGTACTTTAGAAGAGGTGGAACATAAAATGTCATTTGATATCAAAAGGGATCTCAAATGTGATGGTGTTTATGATGGCCATATTGAAAACCAAGCCTTATTCACAGGACACTTGCCAATGTTTTAATTGAATAGCGCTTTAAAGAGTACTTTAGAAGAGGTGGAACATAAAATGTGGTTCTGATAGGTTTTACTGTGCTCGCACTAGGATTATTAGGTTATTGTGTTAACAAATATTAACTTCCGAATAGTATGTTCAGGACGAGAAGAAAAACTGACTGCAAACTTCTGCTAATATTTGTTGCCCCTCGAATATCGGAAGCTAATGTCTTGTTTTCAACTAAAAATCAATTTTAATTACAATGATTTTGGAATTACGCTTCACACCACTTTGTTAGAGAAGGACTGAATAACTCCAGGAGCCCATTACCCGGAGCTTCTATGTCAGTTGTACCCTTGAGTCAACCCTGTCCAGTATCTTTTTATTTTTAGAACTGAGATATCTGCGGAGGTTCTTTAATCTTTCCACACTTTCCACCATTCTTGAAATAATTTCGTGCGGCCTGCAAGTGACACAATAGAGACCTAACACAATAGAGACGACAGCTCTCTTATGATTGGCTATTATAAAAACATCCGCGAAAACCGCCGTGGGAGGTGCTTCTAAAAATAGAAAGATACGGGACAGGGTTGGCTCAGAGGGTCAGTATGGAAGATGGAAGCTCCACGTAATGGGCTCCTGATAACCCTCAATCCTCAATACAGTTTATATGCCAATTTAAAAATGTATTGCTTAATAATAATTCTATCTCCTGGGGGAAATGTTTTGCTGTCAATCGTCAATGGTCTAAGGCCCTAACATTAACCACCAACCACCAGAATCGGTAAAAATGTACCTTCAACCTTTAAAGCCACACCCATATTAAGATCCTCATATATCCTGGAGAAAATACGTTTTTTATGGTTCCATAATCATTCTTCTCTATCAATTCTAACGTGTATAAACTGATTTGTGATCTTTTCAGTTGACTGCACAGGAAAACTAAATGGAAATTACAAAGATCCCAATAACTGCTTTGGGTACATTGCCTGCTCCAATGACGTAGCGTACCAGATGCCGTGCCCGCAAGATCTCAAGTAGAACGAGGCAAAGGATATATGCGATTGGCCAGAAAATGTTACCTGTTAAACGGGATTTACTTTTCAGTAAACGATAAAAGCCGGATTTTAATCCGGAGTGAAACTGCGAAATAATGTTGCAACGGATGATCAAAACAACTACATGATATTTTGTGGGCAGCGTGTTGAGTTTCTTCCATTTAAACTGCAATAACAAACAAAAGTAAATAAAAGAGAAAGAGAGTCTTTGAGAGAAAGATATTATTGTTCCTTTACGCTACCGAAGATAATGCAGCTTTCATTATTTCCCATTCGTCGGAGCAAAGTTTAGCTCTAATGAAGAGCCAATGTGGCTCAAAATCCTAAATCTACTTTCAAGTTGGCTGAATTGACTGAATTGTTTTGTTATTAACGAAAAAAAGGAAGTCCTCCTTTGACATTCATTAACTGACTCGTCCATTTGATGTTTTCAAAATCTAGATTCAAAGAGAAATGTGTACAAGAGGGCAATATAAACATACCAGAAACTAAATATTACGGGGGAAGGGTGGGGGCAGTGATGGTACTAAGTTGCCGAGCGATTGTCCTGCGAAGCATTTCCCGCGGCCAGACTTTGTTGTAACAGAAATATATTGCACTTTGCATTGTTTTTTGTTTTGTTTTTGTTTTGTTTTGATTTATTTTGTTTTCAGCCATCATAGACAAAAGGAAAAGGACAAACGGAAGGTGCTCCTCCTCAGGATACCCCAGTCGCATCGAAGTAGGCCGAGAATTTAGCTCGAGACTAACTAAAGAAGTGAAAATTAAACGACTAACTGTAAAATCGCTTCTTTTAGCCTTCTTTTCTTTAGCAAGCGACAGTCTTTTGCAAGAATCCAATAGCTTCGGCCGCACAAGTGGTTGCTACAAATTCGATACAGAGGGCATATTCAGAGAAAGCACAAGTTGTAGTTGAGGTGTCGACATTATATCCTTTTAAAACAAAATTTTAAGAGTAACGCATGGTTTGTTCTGTCTAATTTAAAAGTGCACGTGAAAAGAAGATTCCTAAAAGATGTTCAAATCTATGAATCATTACTTTCTGTCTTGTACCCAGTTAACAGGTAGGGTAAAGCTTGTAGCTCAAGGTGTTCTCTGACTCTGAGGAACCGACTAATGTAAAGAACATGGATGTGAAGGGAATTTCTTCGTCAGTTTTCTTGCAGTATAGTATTTTGGTCAACTATGCATTAAACTTTACGTTCAGCACGAAACCATCCGAAAAACAACAAAACACGATCTTTATTTGTACTTTCTCTTTCCCTGAAAAGGTATTGAAAATAAAATCAGAGTACCGGCTGCCTGCAATAACTATAGGGGCTGGCGGAGCCAGGCAGCAAGTTGACAGCAGCATTAAATGAAAATAAATTACAGGTCAGCAAGATCGCACAAATGCACATATAATAAGAAAGGGAAAAAAGAAGTCTGAACGCTATATAATATTACGCTCGTACAGAGAAGTCTGAAATAGTTCAATTCATATCTGAGTATAAAATCTTAATATAAGAGAAGCACACAGTAATAGTTATGACAACTAATCACATATAATAGCATTATATGCATATCATAAATTATAGAAGAAAATGTTTCAAGGCTAAGAAAGGCTTAGAAAGCGACAGAATTTAACGAGAGACTGATTTACTAGATAACTTGGGAAATGACACAACTGCAACTTAGGATAATGTGAATGCAAGTGACTACTAATCTTTAACAAGATCGCTCATAACTGATTCCTTCAATTTTGAAAAAGAGAAGGCTTTAGAACATTCACACGTAGAATTCCATACTATGGAGCCCTTAAATCTTGCAAGCCAGCAGAGTTTCCTTGGATTTTTCCCATAACAGCTTGTAGTAAAATAGATAAAACTGATACAAAACAAGAAAGACGAGTGGTAACCGATGGATTTCCCGTGTGCGTGATTTACTACGGATTAGAAGATTAGAATACCTCCCTTTCGCAAACAAAACCGGGATCTCCCGCGGAATTATCACAATGAGTGTCATGCCAGCCATTGTTCCACCTTCCTCCATAGTGTGTCCCATTCATCATCTGAGCACAGTTTTTATGGTTATTTTTTGGTTCATTATGCTCCCACTTGTTAAAGGACAGAAGGGAGCCATCATCCCATTTCCAAACCTCTTCGTTGGCTGGATCTCGACTCAGCCCAATCCACACGCGGCTGTAATCAGCAGGAAGGACATCGCTGGTGACAAATTGGTGTTTATCGGCATTCTGAAACATTACCAAGTTACCGTTGAGCGCTTGGCAGCGTAATCGAGCTTGGGCCCTGTTTCTCTCCACTTGGTTGAAGTACTTGTAACAATTTGACATGAAAAGCTTCCACCCCTGATCGACATCACAGGCTGTATCGAGAAAAATAAAGCCGTTCACATACACATATGCCATTTATGAGATAAATTGATTGATGTCGTTTATCAATGGTCAGTAGACTGGTTTGTGTATCACTTTTTGACGACTAATACCTTTTCCACGAGATGTTAAAGGAACTGAAGAAGCCTGCTGTAGGTAGACTAAACGACATTCCTTGCTTTCAGTCGATCATAACACTATTCCTATTGTTCTATATTGCGCTTTTTTTGAAATAATGGTGCCATAAATGATATATGCATGTAGAAGTAGAAAAGTATCGAAAAAAAAGTTATAATCATGTATAACATGTTTCCCACGTTTTAAATTTGTTAAAACCGCGTTTGTTTCTTGAGTACACTTACGCGAATAGCTATTTGCAGTTTCAGAAAGCCTGGGACAGTTGCTCAAATCTCCCATCTTAGGTTGAATAAGGTAACTGATCAAAAGCTACAACTTTCCGCCAAACAATAGCATCATAGTATACCTAGCTATCAGTAAACTTCCCTTTCGGTTTCGAAAAGATACCTAAAATTGTCGTAGCTAAAGTTTTTTTTTCTGATCACGCCATTTATTCAAACTTATCAGGAGGTTTNAAATAAAGGCAGATTCACTCGGTAAGGGACAGCAAGCTTGATAAATATTCCCGATAAGCTATTTTTAAAGATGTTAAGTGTATTTCAATAGTTAAAATTGCTCAGGAGAATGTATACAGCGAAGAAAGAAACAAGATAAGTTCACGTACCACAGACTACGCCGAAACCTTCCCACTCGCGTAGAAGGATTTCCCGCTACTGCTGGATGGGTACCACTGACATGCGCAAGGACTCGTTTCTGGACAATTTTACTTCCGGTAGCCGTAGCAGCGCCAGCCGTAGTGATTTGCTTAAACTCCCTAATATTACGCTCCTACGGAGAAGTCTGAAATAGTTCAATTCCTATCTGAGTATAAAATCTTAATATAAGAGAAGCACACAGTAATAGTTATGACAACTAATCACATATAATAGCATTATATGCATATCATAAATTATAGAAGAAAATGTTTCAAGGCTACGAAAGGCTTAGAAAGCGACAGAATTTAACGAGAGACTGATTTACTAGATAACTTGGGAAATGACACAACTGCAACTTAGGATAATGTGAATGCAAGTGACTACTAATCTTTAACAAGATCGCTCATAACTGATTCCTTCAATTTTGAAAAAGAGAAGGCTTTAGAACATTCACACGTAGAATTCCATACTAAGGGGCCCTTAAATCTTGCAAGCCAGCAGAGTTTCCTTGGATTTTTCCCATAACAGCTTGTAGTAAAATAGATAAAACTGATACAACACAAAAAAGACGAGTGGTAACCAATGGATTTCCAGTGTGCGTGATTTACTACGGATTAGAAGATTAGAATGCCTCCCTTTCGCAAACAAAACCGGGATCTCCCGCGGAATTATCACAATGAATGTCATGCCAGCCATTGTTCCACCTTCCCCCATAGTGTGTCCCATTTATCATCTGAGCACATTTTTGATGGTTATTCTTTGGTTCATTATGCTCCCACTTGTTAAAGGACAGAAGGGAGCCATCATCCCATTTCCAAACCTCTTCGTTGGCTGGATCTCGACTCAGCCCAATCCACACGCGGCTGTAATCAGCAGGAAGGACATCGCTGGTGACAAATTGGTGTTTATCGGCATTCTGAAACATTACCAAGTTACCGTTGAGCGCTTGGCAGCGTAATCGAGCTTGGGCCCTGTTTCTCTCCACTTGGTTGAAGTACTTGTAACAATTTGACATGAACAGCTTCCACCCCTGATCGACATCACAGGCTGTATCGAGAAAAATAAAGCCGTTCACATACACATATGCCATTTATGAGATAAATTGATTGATGTCGTTTATCAATGGTCAGTAGACTGGTTTGTGTATCACTTTTTGACGACTAATACCTTTTCCACGAGATGTTAAAGGAACTGAAGAAGCCTGCTGTAGGTAGACTAAACGACATTCCTTGCTTTCAGTCGATCATAACACTATTCCTATTGTTCTATATTGCGCTTTTTTTGAAATAATGGTGCCATAAATGATATATGCATGTAGAAGTAGAAAAGTATCGAAAAAAAAGTTATAATCATGTATAACATGTTTCCCACGTTTTAAATTTGTTAAAACCGCGTTTGTTTCTTGAGTACACTTACGCGAATAGCTATTTGCAGTTTCAGAAAGCCTGGGACAGTTGCTCAAATCTACCATCTGAGGTTGAATAAGGTAACTGATCAAAAGCTACAACTTTCCGCCAAACAATAGCATCATAGTATACATAGCTATCAGTAAACTTCCCTTGCGMTTRCYAAAYYAWKCRWAAAWT